AGTTGGTGGGTTTGGCGGGTGCTCAGTTATCAGTTCCCGCAACGTGGATCTTGCCAGGTCCAAGTCGATCGATCGGCCATTTCTATCTATGGCTGCACCAAGATATGTATACAGACTTCACTCTAGATACAGGATTGTTATTTATTACTGAGTGGTCTGCCGTAATTTGAGAGAACATGTATCGGAACATTCATCCGTATGATCTATATACAGATTGGTTTGTAAGGCAAACAGATGATGAAAATACATAGAGTTAAGAAAAACTGAAAACTGAAATAACATAAAGAATATGTTTGCGATGAATAATAGTGCTAGTGTCAGGTTGTGGGATGATCCCCGTGTCTGTGGACAAATATGTTTTAACTGTCATCAGTTAAGTATTTTGTGTAGGATTTAACTTCAACCTCTAATTTCGACATGTGTTCAGTGCAAGTGACAAATCTAAAACTACTGTTTGGTGGCTGTTTGCAGTTAGAGGCACGCATAAAACAAGTTACACGTAAATAATAGCAATAAAAACTAGTAGACCACCCACTTTGATTGGGGCACGTGACACACACGGGTCAGCTTTTGACAACAGACGTTTCACCTGCTAGCGGAAGTGAGATGTGAACTTCGTGGTGCGGTAAATCATCTCCCTGTTGTTATGGATTCCTAATATATTTAATTATAGAATATATTTAGTGAGTAGGAAAGACGATCTGGGCGGTTTCATTCTCAATCCATTTCACAACGACGCTTGAAATTAAAAATGGGAACTACTGAACCCAAAAGCTCACCGGTAGAACGATAAGAGGGCACTCACGGGATAACCGGACATATGATCAAAGACCGTTTAACTATTTCTATGCATGACTTAGCCAGTAACCAGCGCTATTGTTACCTTCATACAATCGAATTCGATCTTCCACGACTGTAACAGTCAAACTGATTTGGATGAGACAGTTTTTGAGCTCTTAATTGCCCTTCAATGCATTTGTCAAGCACACTAAACGTGATTCTCTTCAACGCAGTCTTAAATGCCTAATGGATTCTGTCAGAATGCACACTGTTGATGATTTGTTTCTACGAGAGAGGAAACCGTGATGAGAAACGGTAGGTTGAATTTTTCCTTGACGGTTGAACTAATATCTATTCAATGAAAACATGTGCAATAGAAAGTGATAATTTCAATCCAGTGGTTAATCCGACAATGAATCAATAGATGAATTAAATTGGTTTGGGAGTTAGACACTGTCACAGGCTTCTGTATAGCTTGCCTAGGTGTAATTCCCACCGCTGTGTGGTTATGTATGTGATCTACCTGCAGGTGCAGGAGTGGTATGCATTTACCCTCTTTACCCTCAACTGGTAAACCGAAAAATACAATCTGCGGTTGTCAAGCTCTCGAATTTAGCTCGTTTGAAAGTCAAGCTGAGGCCGCTGGAGAATCTGTCTGCTAATTGCTTCCGTCATCACTAGCGTTGTTGATTGGGTTATTTCGAACTCAGTCGATGAAACTGTTTCATGTACTGACTGTCTCAATTCTGACAAGCTTGCAATGACCTTACTCGGCATCCCAGCCGTGCATTCAATTCGGTTTTTGATAGGCTGTGACCACCTTGACTGACAGGAGAGATTATGCACTTGAACTGGTAAACCTATCTTGGGGTCAACAAAGCCAGTTTATCCCTATGTTACAATCGTGTATGTTATGTTCCGTTTAATTAAGTCCCCCAAGTAAGTGAATAAGTTAATAATCCGAACGTTTATTATAGTATAGCATGTTGCTGGTCCGTGGTTCGGTGAGGAAACGGAATTGAGCAGGCAGGCCAGCAACCGGTTCAAGCGTCCAACAACATCCGAATGCCGCCAAGCTGGGCATTCAAACAGTTAACAAAGCAATCCGTGTGGACAGTTTAATACTAACACCCGGCTGGATGGAGCCGATCGATATTGTAATAAGTCAGTCCACATGGTGCGGATGCGTTTGTCTGTGTGGTAGCGGACAGAATCTGCCAATCAATCAATCAATCAATCAATCAATCAATCAATCAATCAATCAATCAATCAATCAATCAACCAATCAATCAACCAATCATGGTAAAGTCGTCAAAAATGAAATGGTTCAGTTTTTTGCAGGTATGTATCCATCAAACTGTCCGGCATTGTTCGAGTCATGTGCTAGAAGTCAATGGATGAAAAAAGGGTACACAGAGTATCAACTAACAGTTGATTAGTAAACCAGGCAAAGAAGTTCAACGAAGACTT